GACGACCGCTGCGTAGCCTGGTCGTCAGCCCAAGAAGCGTCTGCGTGCCCAATGAGGACCACTGGACTCCGCCCTCCAAGCACTAGCCCCATGCCCGACGTACTGCACAAGTAGCGCAACACCCTCTTCGCTGCAGCCATGTGCTCCGGTCTGTGTCTCCCAAGAGCAATATAGCATGCGAGAATGCTAAGAGGGTATGCAAGGTCAGGTCGAGTGCAGGTCATCAGGTACATGAGGCAGCCAACAAGCTCTGGGTACGGGCCACTCGACTCTACGGACTCATCCGAAGGCAGAGCTGACAGCGAAGTGGCGAGTAGGCAGAGGAGTGGCCTGAGGCGAGGAGTACGTGAAGCCGAAGCGCTGAAGGACCTGCTGCACCATGTGTGTCTGAGTCAGGGTAATGGTGCGGCGTGCTCTGTCCCGGGTGATCTGCAAGCCAAGGTAGCTGCGCAGTTCACCCAGGTCTGTGCACGTGTGTCTCTTCTGCAGCTCGGACTTCACGTAGGCGAGTCCAGCAGTGTCAGCTGTGGCAAAGACCAAGTCTACACGAGGATGTAGAATGGCGGCAGAGAGGTGTCGGTGCGCAGAAACAGCGACGGGTCGGCAGTAGAGGGAGCAAACCCAAGAGCCGCAAGCGTAGTCCTCAGTGTGTCGTGCCACTCACGCGGTGCCTGGCGAAGAACGTAGACTGGCCGCCGGAGGCTCCACTGGGTGCCAGGAGGAAAAGACTCAGTGAAGCCAGGCGGGCGGCGCAGCCAGATCTCCTCGTGCAGGCTGCCCTGCAAGAAAGCAGTGCTGAAGTCAAGAGAGTGCAGCTCGTAGTCACGGTGAGCAGCTACGTGCAGCAGTACCCGAAGAGTGGTCATCTTCGGGGTGGGAGAGAAGGTCTGAAAGTAGTCAACTCCCTGCCGCTGACTGAAGCCACGAGCCACGTACCGCGCCTTTAAGACAGGCGGGGAACCCGGCGGCCGCTTCACCCTGAAAATCCACATGCCACTGACGATGTTCGCCCCAGGTGGGGGGAGCCTCGTCAAGGTAGGTGCCTGTGGACTTCCAAGAAGCCATCTCTACGTCCATAGCTGCCTGCCACTGAGAGGAGTAGGGACCCTCTATCGCCTCCGCATAAGAGCGCGGAGTCGGGATGTCAAGTGCATCTGGGTCTCCCTCAGGGGTGAGCAGTACGGACACGAGATGAGGTGAAGCAGCTGCCAGACACTGGAACTCCTCCTGCCTGTCCTCAAGGACGTCCGTGCCAAGGGCACACCTACCCCCGACGGACGGAGGACAGGCAGACTCAGACTCAGCAACAAGACTAGCAGCGAAGTCTAGACGACAGCGAGCAGCAAAGTCGACGAGCTCAGCAACAAGAGCAGACGCAACAGTGGACTCAAAGGAAGGGTAAGTGACGACAGTAGCAAGGAGACGCGTGACAGTAGGACTGGCAGCACGAGAGAGTCCGACTCCGGGTCGGCAAGAGCAGGAAGAGAGGACTCCAGAAGGAGAGGGTAAAGGGGCACGCAGAGGAGCAGTGGACGGATGCAGAGACATCCGGTGCGTGCCAGGGACAGGAGGAGGACGCTCACTGCGAACCGCGACCACTAGGGCGAGCAGCATGGACAGGCAGCGCAGGACGAGACGCAGGCTCGACGACGCTCAGCAAGAACCTCCAGTAGGACCAGTGTAGGGAGAAGGAGCAGGCAGTGGGGAGGGCGGGCTGTAACTGTAACTGTGACGGGACAGGCTGTGGACACTCTAACGAGGAGGAGGACTAGTAGACGGCGGAGACCAAGAACCTGCTGAAGGAGCGGAACGAAGTACGGCCGAGGCCGCGCAGCGACTCCAGACACATCAGGACAGCACCAGCACCCCAGTGGCAGCACCAGCGCTAGCAGCACCTCCAGCTCAGTTACCTCCAGCAGCACGCAGTAGCACCCCCAGCAAGAAGACGCCTCCAGCACCGACAGCAGTAGCCTCAGCGCCATCAACCGCAGCATCTCTAGCTCCAGTCGTACCGCAGGCCCAGCAGCTCCAGTACTCCTCCAGTACGAGCACCTCCGGAACCCACGGCACCAGCACCCTTAGCAGCCGAAGAACCTCCAGCTCCAGCAGTACGCCTCCAGCGCCGGGCAAACCACTCGCGCAACTCTGGTGGAGAGAGCGGCTCCTGCCGAGACAAGCACCCGGAGAACCTCCAGGCCCAGCACTGCCGGACGCCTCACAAGCAGGCCCAGCTCCCTTAGGCTCCACACCCCAAGGCTCACCACCTCCACGACGTAGCACCCCAGTAGCACCCCTAGGCTCAAGACGCAACACCCCCAGACGTAGCACCCCCAGGCTCAGCACCCCTTGGCGCAGCACCCCAGGCTCAGCACCCCCAGGCACAGCACCCCCAGGCTCAGCACCCCCAGGCTCCAGCACCCCCAGTCTCAGGACCCCCAGACGCAGCACGCACACGTCAGCACCCGCAGAGTCGCACCCCCAGGCTCAGCACCCTCATAGTAGCACCAGAGTCACCAGTGACCTCGACAGCTCGACTGCGTCTACCTGGACACACCTGAAGGGGCAGGACCCTGAGGGGGAGGGGTCTACCGGGGGGGGACCTGGTACAAGGAAGAGCGGCGGCGGGGGGGGACGGAGTGCGTAGGGGAAGAGACGGTAGTAGGGGACCGACTCGTCAAACATGACGTCCTGGGAGGACAGAACACGGCGAGAGGTGGGGTTAGAACTGCCACCCTGGCGCGTCAGGGGGGAAACCCAGGAAGAACGCAAGGAGCAGCACGAGGGGACAGCTTGTCTGCAGACAAGTCGCGAACAAACGCTCAAGATCCCCAGACACGGAACGCAGACGCATCGCCAACCTTCCCCGTCCACAGCAAGGCTGGGAGGTCTCCAGCCGGGAGACCTTGGGGTGGAGGTTGATCTGATGCGCCGCGTACCGAACCGCAAACGGCCACAGAAAATGGGGGGCAGCCGCATGCATCATGGGCGTACGAGCGACGTCCATGACCATGCCAATGCGGCGCTCAGCAATCCCATTTTGCTGTGGAGAGTCCGGAAGCGTGAAGGTCTGGTGGATGCCCTCGTGCACGACAGTAGGCTCGCAGAAGGCCAGAGGAGAACTCTCCGCCTGTGTCAGAGTGCAAACGCAGAACAGGAAAGTCCGAGCCGAAGCTCTGCCTGAGCTGGAGAGAGCTGCGCGGATCTGTCGATCAGCACCTCAGTGACATCACCCTTGCTGTGCAAGGGGAAGAATGTGGTGTAACGCGAGTAGTCGTCAACCACCAGTAGGATAGCGCTCGTGACCCTGTCCACGGACGCGGGCGGGGCCCCACACGTCAAGGTGAAGCGTCTGCAGCGGGCCTAGAGCAGTACCTAGAGCAGCAGTCTCAATGCCCGGGTGGGCGAAAAACACCGGTAACAGTCACCCTCATCACTAATAGTCAAAGCATACATGGCAGCAAGGATAGCATCAAAGTCAAGATCAAAGATAGCTACTCCGCCCTAGACAGCTCACCCCAGCGGGGGATCTCCGTGGCCTCCAGAAACTGGTGACGCCAAGCGTCCGTCAGGCGGCCAAAGCAGCGCTGATTGGGGTGCGCACCCCCACACTGCTCACCTGCACGGTCGCCGGTGCGCAGGACGTAGGTGCACGGACCAAACCCCCACCCCGCTGGCGTGCAGTGTACCACTCACGGAGCTGCTGAGGGGACAGGGTCTCACGCCCGCGCTGCTGCTGCTGGCGCGGACCACCACCTGAGCCACTCCTCTGTGCAGAACCGCGACCTGCTCCACCGCCACCTCCGCCGCCTCCGCCACCGCCGCCGCCTCCGCCACCACCGCCGCCTCCGCTCCCTCCGCCACCACTTGCCTCCGCCTCCGCCTCCACCGCTGCCACCGGCACCCCCACCCCCGCCACCACTCCCACCCCACCCCCACTGCCCTCCGCCGCCTCCACCGCCGCCTCCACCGCCCCCGCCCGCTCCTCCAGCGCCCTTGCCCACCTTGCCCTTGCCTGTGCGGCGCTTCCCCGAAGGGGCAGACGCAGCGCCGACCGACTCAAAACCAACGAGGTCGGCCGCAACAGCAGAAGCAACAGAGGGCAAGAGGGGGGAGGGAGAACACCCCTCAAAGACAGGGGTGCGGGGGTCACCACGAGAGGCTCCTACAGCGACTATGCTCTTCTCCGCTGCTAGGAGGGCCTTCTCGACGAGGTCAATGGTGAGAGTGGTGGGGCACACTGCGAGGAAGTGGTCCCTGACTACGCGAAGGTAGTCAGGAGCCGGGTGACTATGTATAGAGGGTGATATACATGGAGGGGGGGGGGTTCTTGGCGCAAAACTCAGCAGGAAGCGCAGCGCGGTAGCGAGTGTCACTAGTGCGAAGGTCCGTAATGAGGTCAGCAACTGTGGGAAAGGCAGCAAGGTCTGGGAAGAGGTACGGTAGCATGAGACGGCTCAGTGCAGCAGTGGCAGGGGAGAAGTAGCGTGCAACTACACGCGTCGTACAAGGTCTGAGCACTCTTGTACTGACTAAAGTGCGCACGCTCAGAGGTAGGGGGTGGCGACGCACAGCAAGACGTGCAACAGCATCGCGCGTGGGCCCACTGGGAGCGAGCAATGGCGTCAGCATCAGCAGCAGGGGCAGGAGAGGCACCAGAGGTGAGGTCAAAGAGGGAGAGATCGTCTGCCCTATCGCACTTTAAGAAGAGCTGCAGGTTATCTATCCAGACGTCAAAGTCAATGGCCCAACCCTTAGCGTCAAAGCGAGGACACTAGGGGTAGCCATGACAACAGTAACTAGCAGTGTAAACAGTAGGGTAAGGGCAGTGCAGGTGAAAGAGGCGCTGCTCTTACCGGACAGGGCTGCTCTGGCGGCTCGGCGGTAGGGCGGCTCTGCTGCTGGGCGGCTCGGCGGCACGGCTGCTGGGCGGCTCGGCGGCGGGAGGGCGGCTCGCGGCTCGGCTGCTGGGCGGCTCGGCGGCTTGGCTGCTTGGCGGCTTGATGGCTTGGCGGCTCGGCTGCCGGGCGCTCGGCGGCTCGGCTGCTCGGCGGTTCGGCTGCTCGGCGGCTCGGCGGCTAGGCTGGTGGGCGGCTCGGTGGTGCGGCTGCAAGGCGGCGCGGCGGTCGGCTGCTCGGCTGGGTGAGGCGGCTCGGGCAGCTCAGGTGGCGGGCGGCGCTGCAGCAGGCGACGGCGCCTGCGCCGTAGTGGTGGGCGCTGGGCCGCAGGTAAGGGCGGCGGGGCCGCAGGTGAGGGCGACGGGGCCGCAGGTAAGGGTGGCGGGGCCGCAGGTAAGGGCGGCGGGGCCGCAGGTAAGGGCGGCGGGGCCGCAGGTAAGGGAGGCGGGGCCGCAGGTAAGGGCGGCGGGGCCGCAGGTGAGGGCGACGGGGCCGCAGGTGAGGGCGACGGGGCCGATGTTAGGTGGCGGGGCCGGAGGTAAGGGCGGCGTCAGGGCCGCAGGGCGGCGCGAGGGCCGCAGGGTAGGCGCCGAGGCCGCAGGGCGGCGGATCGGGGCCGGGAAAGGGCGGCGCGCGGGCCGCGGGCGGGGCGACGAGGCCGCAGTGCGGCGGGTCGGGGCCAGGAAGGGCGGCGCGCGGGCCGCAGGGTGGGCGACGAGGCCGCAAGGCGGCGGATCGGGCCGGGAAAGGGCGGCGCGCGGGCTGCGGCGTAGGCGACAGAGGCCGAAGGGCGGCGTGAGGGCCGCGAGGTAGGCGACGGGGCCGCTAGGGCGGCACGACTGTGTCGAGAGAGGGGAGCGCGACTCGGGCTAGGGCTGAGCGCGCTCCGGGCAGGAAAAAAAAAAATCGACTTGGTGGGCCCTAGGAACAGTTCCCACGAGGGAACCTGCTCGATACCATGAGAAAACTGAAACGAGAATGAATGGACTATGAAACAGTTGGGTACAAGTACTAACCCTGATTGGGTTGTACCCCTTATGGGCTACCCCACTACAGCCTACACAAATGCATAAGCTATAATGTTCTGACACCAGTAAAGAGGCAGTTCTCTCTGCGCAATCAAGGTTTCTCAGCATATCAAAATAAAGACAAGTGCGTGTTTTGATGGCAAAGACTTCTATAACCTGGAGCTTCGAGCTGGAGCTCCTGCTGCGAACGCTCAGATTTTCACTACTTCGACGGGAGTTACGCGGAGCCCGCTAAGGACACCGACGACGCTAGGACAAGGTACTACAACGAGTCCCTGATGGCGTACGGCATCCTCCTGCGCAACATGACACCGCGGAGCAGTTGAACATTCGTTCATACAAGACAATTGGCTGCTCCAGCCCTCGACGCTTGCCGCCACCTGAACGGCGTGTATCAGCTGAAGGACTCTGTTTCTTAGAGCCGGCTGCTCTAGCAGCTAAAGGAAACCAAAATGCCCTCGGGAGAAGGCCAATAGTTACATCAATCGCTGTCGGAGCCTTCGCGATCAAATCGCGAAGTTGGGAAGCTCGATTCAGAAGAGAATTTGTCAACATCGTGCTTCAAGGGCTCGGTCCAGAGTGGCGGCCTGCAAGGCGCCTCTCGCGGCAGCACAGGGTCATCTCGGAGGCCGCTCTTTG